TTTGTGAACGTTTCAAAGTGTGGGAGGAACCAGTGAACGAGTTGGATTTCCGAGATTTTTTCGCCAAGAGAGGGGTGACATATGATGGGGAAGAAGTACGGGTCGCTCAGACATTGACTTGGCGTGGTGTCCAAGGGTCTCTACCAGATGAGGTTGGTCGTTTGGAGTTGCGGGACTTTTGCACCCAGGGTACCCTGCATTACATTGACCATTTTGAGGAGCACCTTCTGGATACCACACACATGACATGTCCTCGTGCCCCCCGTGTCATGGTAGGGGACGATTGGCCGTCGATCTGTGAGGGACTCATCGAGAAGAAGATTTGCGACATCACCCCCATCGACCAGCTCTTCCACATCGGCCAGGCGCCTTTGCTGAACGGTATGTTTGGAGTCGGCAAGGGCGAGTTTATAGGGGAGATCGAAACGCAACGACTCATCATGAATCTCATCCCGCTCAACCAACTCTGTGAACCTCTCGTGGGAGACGTAGTAACTCTCCCGAACATTAGCAGCTTTGGGACGTTCCTATTGGATGAAGGTGAGGTGGCATTGATCTCTTCAGAAGATGTGCGTTGTTTCTTTTATTTGTTTAAGGTACCGCCAGAGTGGAAGAGATTCTTGGGGTTCAATAAGCGAGTACCGGATTCGTTGGTGGCGTCGAAGTGGAGGGATCGCCCCTGCGTGCTTACGGCGTGCGTGTTGCCTATATGGGATTCATCAATAGTGTATCAATTGCGCAGCATGTACATCGGAATATAGTCACTTGGAGCCAGCAAACTCCCGGAGGTCTTGGAGGGGAGTGTGAAATGCGGAAAGACCGAGTGAGCAGTTGTTCAAGTGCGCAGTACAGGGTCTACCTTGACAATTTTGATTTGGTTGAAAGGCTCGATCCCCCCACGGCTCAAGCCCTCAGTGGCCAAGTGGCTGAGGTGGTGCAACACTTGCGCGCCCAATACGGTGCTCAAGGGATCCCCCGACATCCCAAAAAGGCAGTTGAAAGGTCAGGAGTGGCGGAGATCCAGGGCGCGATTGTTGATGGCCTGGAAGGGTTTGCCCAGCCAAAGCCGAGCAAGGTGATCTTGTATTGTCAGCTGGCATTGATGTTGGTACCATGTGACTTGCAGTGATGCCTCTACAACGGGTGGAGGTGTGTGTGTCAGTGAAGGTTTGACCAGCTATGGGATGGCCGCATTGAACTCCGAGAGCCAGGGTGATCTCCCGATGGAGGGAGATACCTTCCAGGTGTTGTCGGTCGGGTTGTTTGATGGGCTTGGAGCTTTGCGCCTAGCATTGGACAGTCTGGGTGTTGCAGTCGCCGGGCATTTGAGTGTGGAGAAAGAGGGGACAGGGAGAAGGGTCGTAGAAGCCTTCTTCCCCGACTCCATTTTTCATGACGATGTCAAGACAGTGGACATGGAGATGGTCAAAGGATTGGCTTTGCGGTTCCCGTCCGTTTCGTTGGTGTTGCTTGGAGCCGGACCCCCCTGTCAGGGGGTGAGTGCGTTGAACGCTGCGAAGAAGGGCGCTCTGCGAGATGAGCGAAGCTGTCTGTACCAGGAGGTCCCCCGCATACAGAACTTGTTTCGCCAGGCTTTCCCATGGGCCCAAGTGCGGTTGGTGATGGAGTCGGTAGCTTCAATGTCGAAAGGCAATCGTTGCATTATGAGTGAGGCGGTGCAGCTGCTCCCCTTTCGCATTGATGCTGCAGGTATTGGACTATGCCACCGGCCTCGTCTCTACTGGGTAGACTGGGACCTACAGTAGGGGGAGGGAGTCACGTTGACACCTCCCGCGCAAAGTACCGGATGGCAGGGTTGTGGCGCAGTCAACTTGAAGGAGGTCAAGTCGGAGGCATTCCTGGAGCAGGGTTGGTCCGTGACGGAAGGTTTTCGACTGCCGACATTCGTGACCAGCCGGGATTCCGACCAGCTGGACGAGACCGTTGCTCACCTCACGAACTCCAACGATGGGAGGCGGATCAGTACAGGTTCCCACCATACCAGTACCGTGACCACAATTTGCTCTGGACTCGTAAGGGTGCCGCACGACGACCTAACGTGCATGAGAGGGAGGCCACCCAGAGGAGCATTTCCTAGAGATCACCCCAGGATAGAACCATATCCTAGGCATCCCCCCCTATCCCAGGAATCCCCCCCAAGGAATTAGGAGGTGAAGCATCTCAAAATCCAACATATTAAGGCTTCAGTACTCAACCAACTTGACAATAGCAAAAACCAACAACTGTCACACGCGCACACAGGTATTTTCCACAAACCACATCCAAAGCTCAAGCACTCTCACGTTTGCGACCTAGCAAAAATTCATCTACAAAACTCTACAAGACAGAAGCAGTCCCTCAAAGCTGAGAAGCAGACCACATAGAACATGTAGAACATGATACACACTGTTGTATAGACATGCTCATGTACATGTCCATGGGCCATGCTTTTGCAGGAACATGCTATACCTCATGCCTCATGTCTCATGGCCTCATGCATGGAGGAACAGACCTACAGGACCATGTAAACTTCCCTACAGTTCCTAATCATATGAGGCCCCAGCGCACCAACTCATCAGTAGCCTCTTGAAGGATTCTCTTCAAGCCTGGCAGCGCCCACCACTTGACACCTCATAAACACACACACACACATACAGTCCCAGACCTGTCAAATATCTCTTCAGAGTACTGCTCTGGGTCGTTAGCTTGTGCGTCTTTCGAGCTATAGACATGATCAGCTTAAGCCAACCCTCATCAAGCCACGCGCTGCTAATGATTGGATTGCGCTTCTGCTCCAAGGTGCTGTCCAATAGGTGGACAAGTATGTGCAGCTTTGGTCGAGGGTTAAACAATTTGTATGTACCGCGGTTGACATAGTGCTGGTGCAAAGCTAAATAGAGTTGGACAAACAGCATGCCCACTGTATGAACCTGATCTGCCTGGCCTTGCGTCAAGAACAAAGAATCCTGTCGAACTTCGTGCACCAACGAAATGAAATTGTTTGCTGCCCAGACCAGCGTTTTGACATCATCTTCAAGAGTAACCTGGTGGTTCTCAACCAGGTACGCTAGCCACTGCAGGATGACGCCTGTTTGCCAGCCCTTGCCACAAAAGTGGACGTACTTATTTGACTTCAATCCCAGCTTGGCGCTGGAAAAATGCCAGCGTGGCCCAAACCTGTATTTGGTGTTGGCCTTTGCCCATGTTTTCAGTTGATTGCTCGCATTCTGCATCCTCAGTGCAACCTCAGAAGTCAAGCTACCCTAGGAATTGTCATTCTGTCAGATTCACAAATGTGAAACTAAACAAGAAAGTAGAAACCAAAAACAACTGCCCAGCCCAGGAACTCTTGACCCAGGAAAGAATTGCGTCTTTAGCAGCAAAGTCATGACAGACGCTGCCACATCCCTGCCAACACCTAAATGCCATATGTGTAAGAGGTCCATGCCCACAGAAGACAATATACTAAAGTTGTGAAGGTCAACGAGACTTGGAACCTCACTTGCGTCCCATGGTGGGGGAGCAACGTCCACACCCGCCAGCGGGCTCCAGCACTTATGTCCGTGTAGGGCTTGCTTAGATCTTTTGTTGCCAAACATCGCCAGCACACTTCATTGCGGCCAGGATGTCGGGCAAGGTTCAGACTCTGGGTCATGAACTTAATATCACCTTTTAATGTAGTCACCTCTCCAAAAAGCCCATCAACACCATGCAAGGCAAAGGTGTTGAAACTCAGAACAATTTGCTTCAAGAGCTCCTGCACCGTCTGATTGCATCTCCCTTCTTTCCAATAATAGCTGGTCGGAATGCACGCTATGAGAAACCTGCTTTTGGCTGCATCTTTCTGAAGCGGTGACACTTCAGACATCCAGTGGAAGCACATCAGCTGTGTACCTTGCCACGCCTGACATTCATCTCCATAAAGATGAAGAGGGAGGGTTTGCAAAGATGGTGGCTTTGGTCTGCCACAATTCAGCTCCATTGTTTCCCAGTACCCCTTTGGCGTGTGGCCAAGCACATCACGATGACCCGAACGTTGAATGACTGCAGCCTGAGAAAGGAAAAGGACACAATGCCATACACATTGAAAAGGCAAAGGCCCTGGCAAGTTCATGTGGCTTGATCATAGGCCACTCTCTCAATTCATATTCGCCATCTTCATTGCAAATTGGAAGCTGGACATGTGAAATCAAATCACCAAATGCTAGGTTCGCAGAAGTCAACCTTCTGTAGCACCTATCGTCTTTCACAGCAGAAGGCCTGAAAAAATCAGAGGTGCATTCAAGTGATCAGAGCCACATTGACTAAGAGCAAGGCCCAAAAACTGTGCTACCATAGCTTTGTCCCACTCTGACTGCCGAGGCCAGTGTAGCCTGACCTTTGCCAATTTCTGCAGCCAGCCTGCCACATCAAAGCAGTAGACTTGTACAATTCACAGAAGTCATGGAGGCCCCAGACACTTCATCCAAAGATCTTCTCAAGCTAAAGGTACCGGATGTACCTGTTCTTCTGGCCAGTGAGAACACAATGTTGAAGAGCAAAATGAGCAGGTGGCTGAGCACATTCACGCAAACAGATCCTGCTTCTAAAGCACACCAATGTATCAAAACGGCGTGTCCTACGTATGGCAAGATGTTCATCACCTTGCAACCCCGAAATGAGTGAACAAATCACTTCAGATCTCAGCAGCACCCAGGCCACAAATTTATGCAGCATAGCCCCTGGCCCAGAGCGCAAACAAAAACACACACTCACATGACTCCACCAATTGAGCCAGGAGAACTTGCGAAGCTCCTTCAAGATGGCCTGCAGCTCCGCCCTCTTGAGGCGACTTGCTGCCACCTAAGCACAGCTACAGAAATTTCATATCATGGCTTGAACACAAATTTTGAGACACAGACATTCGAAGCAACTGTCCCCACGAGCTTATTGAGTTCCTCCTTGTCTGTGTCCCGATTCAGCCTGCAAATTTCAGAGAACCCAAAGACAACAAACAATGTTTAAAAACCAGTCCTTGCATGGTCACCCTTCATGGTAGTAATGTGCATCTCAATCTCTGCACGCTGAGACTGCATCTGCTCAAAATCCGTGCTGTCCAAATGTAAGGCATTGAGAGCTGTAAGCTCTTTCCGCACCTCACCACCTTAGATGAGTTGAAAAACATACATAGTCATATCAAATGCCATCTTCAGAAAACACCAAGGCAGGCACGAGCAAGGGACACCTTCTCGTCCAAAGTTTTGCCAGCCAGCGCCATCTGAGACAAAGGAGCACTCTTGGGCTTGGGTTTTGCCTTTGCCACTCCACCGCCCCTTCCTGAAGCAATTGAACATTGCACACAAATGACACACAGTGAGCGCAAACAAAATCCAGTTTATTCTCACACAAGACTAAGCTTCGAGGGGTTGCTTTTGCTTTTGCATCAGGTGCAGGGCTTGAAGCAGCTGACTCTGGCTGGACCAAGGCTAGCTGGTTCCTGACCATGCCCACTGGGTCTGGAAGGCTGACAGAGGGAGCAGACACATCAGGAGCCATGGTCAAGGTCGGAATCAAATCTTGAGGCCTCACCTGTGCCTGCACTTGTGCAGACATGGTGGACCTGTCCGTTGAGCTCTCACTGGTCGAAATGGAACACCAGAAGCGCATACTGGCTTCATCACCAGGAGCATCTTCATCTGGAATTCCACCACGAGCAACACAAGCCGCAATCTTTGCCCTGGTAGAAAATAGCATGAACAGAAACAACAGCCATGTAACATTTACTCACAATGCATTTCACCCAGGCACGCTGAAAAGTTGTGCTCATTCATCTGGCGAATAGTCAGCAAGGCCCTGTTGCGGTTCACCTCCTGCTCCTGGGTCTTTGTGACAGTAAAGCTGGCCTCAGCATTCTCCAAATGCTCACCAGCATCCAGGAAGCGCTTGAGAGCCTGACGCTTCTCAAGGGTTGTTCCACTGAACATCTTGGCAAGCTGTGGGTAGCTTGCTGCCCGTGGTCCTTTGGCAACACGCTCCAGAAGCAACCACTGTTTCTTGTGGCTTGAGGACGAGGGCAGCTCTGCAGGTGGGCCCATATCACCTGGCTGCCTCTCACCCACAGCTGGACCAGGTGGAGGCACAGCTGGAGAGGCGGCTGGTATAGTAGGAGGCGCCAGTAGCTCACCAGAACGCACAGGGTCCACATGTTCCCCTGTAGGTGCTTCTGGTACTTCCTCTTCATTCCTCAAATATGCCAGAAAAAGGTTCAGCAAAGGCTTATATATATATATATTCACACCTCTGTGACACCATCCCTGAGCTGCGTGAGCCCCATGAACAGCATTGGCATGAACCACATGAACAGCATGAACAACATGAACCACATGAACATATGCCCATGAACCATACATGACCATGAACCACATGAACATGCACCACATGAACATACACCACATGAACGTGAACCACATGAATATGAACATGCATTGTGCAAACATGGCATGAACAGCTATTAAGGCCCCAACTCACGATACATAGGCGTTTCCTCATCTTGAGACGCCAAATCAATCTCCACAGTGGACTTCCCACGCACCATCTGCTGGCCACGAAGCAGTGTTGCAATGGACCTGCCCCAACAAAAAGCACAGCAGCTCTGCAAAGACCAACCCAAATCAAAAGGCACTCACAACAAGCAGTTAGCCTTGCCTGTGGGACTCCTTGGGAAACAACGCAGGAGCTGATGGCAATGGAGAACGTGACTGCGATGGTGGAACCACATCCTGGTCTTCCAAAGGTACTGTTTCATCCTCTGCCCTGCAGTAGGCTCGGTGAACAACTGCTCCACATGTTGTTCAAACGCATCTAGCTGGGTTTCTTCATCGACAGCGACCACAGCACTTGGTGGGGTTGGTGTTTCAACAGCCATAGGAGACTTTGCCTCTGCAGGTGTCCCAGAAGAAGGTTTCCCTGCAGGTTCCTGAGTCTCTTCCTGCACAGGTTTCTCTGCAAGACTCTCTGCAGACTCAGGCTTCTTCTCAGCAACCTTCCTGGCCCTCTTGGGCGGAGGGGGGACTATCTCCTTGAGCTCTGCAAGAATCTCTTTGGCTGTGTCCATCGAGATGTCACAGGTCTGCGCCAATTGCTTGGCCGTTGGGGCACGACCACCGTTCTCCTGCTGCAGCTCCTTGAAGAGCTCAACAAAGTGCTCTGTCGCCATCTATGGATGTCAAGGCAGCAGACAGCTCTGTGTAGGCCAGCTTGAGGTCCAAACAGTCTATATAGCATGTACACTATGATTTCTACCAAGTGTACACTCTCCACTGAACAATGCCAGAAACATGCCTTCACAGAGAGCCTGGGAGGACCAAAAAAAAATTCTCGGGGGATCTCGGGGATTCACGGGTCTATCTCGGGGAAATCTCGGAAATTTCTCGGGTCTTCTCCCGCCTCACTTTTTTCAGCCTAAAAGCCGTACCCTGAGCATTGTAATTAAAATTCATGCATTTCAGTTCACCTAAGTCGGTGGGTCACTGTTGCCCATGCTTCTGCAAGAGGCCGCGCCCATTGCTCATTTGGTGTAAAACTCCTGCTTGCTCTCAGGTAACGAATCACACCCACCACATCAGCCTTGGATGCTACGCATGGCCACAATGCACACACACAGCACACTTTGGCTCAGGCATCACACCATAGATCAATGGTCCGCCAATTAATCTCCTCAAGCACCCAGCTGACATTACAGCAGAGCACAACACAAGTCAGAGCCCTTGTCCTCAAAAAGCTCCAGGTCTGTCTTGGCAAAGTCAACAGTATGGGGGTGTTTCCTTCCAGGAAGTTCCTGCCACACAATGCAAATTAACAGACTCTACACCCCCACAAACAATCCCCTACCTCCCAATGCACTTCTCCCATCTCCCGCTTTAGCTGTGCCAAGTGCCAGCCAAACTTCTCATGGTATGCCCTCAGCGAAGCCGCGCACACACAGGGCACACACGCAACACTCTAGGTTCATATATTCATAGCAGCCAAGACACTGGCTTGCAGACATTGTCTTCTTCACCCCAGACCAGACCAGCTTACCATCAGCGTTTCTCTTTCGAGTGGTCAAGGCAGGCCCCGAAAGTTGAGCCAGCTGATCAGCAGTCATCCTCCCAGCAACATTAAAGATGCGTTCCAGCATCATCCGATCATTGCTGTATAGCCAGTGCCTTTTAGGTGTGCTTTGGCTTGGGTCAGAGCTGTAATAGCCACCCCACATTCCAGACTTAAAGATAGTGAGGCCCTGAAAGACTTCATCAAGCCTGGGATGCAACTCTGCAGCCGAGTGCTGCGGCTGCTCCAGCAAGATTCTCATGGCCGAGCTGACAGCGTACCAAATCACTAGCGCCATCCTGGATGCCAACTTGTTTCCTTTTGCAACAAAGGCCAAGGCCATGTTGCCCAATGGGAAAAGCACCGAACGCTGATGTGAAGCACAGCACCTGGGCCACCCATAACTATATAAACACTCAGACTTGTTTATTGAACCAAGCAGCGGCCGACAAAAAGAGTTGCAAGCCAGCGCAATGACTATCAGAGCTCCCGCTTTGGCCCTGCGGACCATTTGTAAGCACAGCCTCATTCACTCAGCGATCTAGTGCCCTCACAGTTTTAGGATTATAAGGTGAGGACGCAAAGCCACTTGGCGTAAGGAAATCAAATGTGTGGTCATCATCAAGGTTGAGGTCAAGCTCAACTCCACAGAAGCCTGCCTCATGCAGTCCAAACTAGACCTTGACTTGAGGATCAAGTGGAACAGCTCAGGCCAACACTTTTCTCATCTGGGCACTCACTCTCCCACAGCCACTGAACAACTCAACAAAGTCATACACCTGGGAACGCAAAAAATCGAAACAAACATACAGTTTTCCCAGCAAACAAGCTCAGCTCAAGGCAACAGAGTCCTTCAACTCTGGAGTGGCAACCAGGTGTAGGATTGCAAGGATTAGGATAGGGGGACATCTTCAGCAACTACCATGGTTACGTACACAGAAAACAGCTTTGAGCAAGTAAAGCTTCAGCATCACAACTGTTCAAAACAGCAGACCATGACCAGCAGTTCCAGAGTGAGCTGCAACTTCTCCACTGCGTGTTTTAGCTGCAGTCTGGGCAAGCGGTCAAAACCACTGTACAATGAATTTGTTTTACACAAACCTGCGCTTTTTCATTTCCGCATAAGGCATACCTTCTAGAAAGGATGCCCTTTGCGCAGAAAGCATCCATTGTGCGCAAGCCTCCCTGTAGCCAATCTTCTTTTCAGAGCGGAGGGAGTTGATGAATTCTGTCTGGGCTGCCTTGAACACCTTGGGGGTATAAGAGCAGAGCACAGGGGTCTCACTAGGTCCACTGTCAGGCAGTGGAGGCTTTGCAGCAGACTCATCCTCCAGCGCAAGAGCCTTTTCTTCTTCAGGCCCAGCAAGCTCTCGCTGCTTTCTAGGCGCCTTTGACTGTTTTTTGGCCTTGGCCTTTGGTTTGCTCTTTGGTTTCTTTTCAGGCTTTGGTCTGTCTTCACCTTCTTGAGCCTCACCATCTTCTTCACCTGTTTCAACCGTGGCAAATGGCTGGACAGGTGTTTTTTCTTTTGCAAGTCTTTCAAAGACTGAAGCACAAAGGGCGGCGCAACATGACTTGGCCGACATGGCGTAGCAACGGGTCTCATCTGTCCATTGTTTTCACTTTCAGCTTTGCTGTCAGCATTGCCCCGCAAAGCCCGCAAAGCACGCAAAGCCTCCTGAGCCTTGCCTTCATTAGCTCCAGCTACCTGTTTTCCAGTAGCTTCAGTTGCCTTGTGTTTTGCAACAACTGCAGCAAGAGCACCCCAGTCAAAGCCCTTAGGCTGAATTGCCTCCACATCCTCTGCAGAAGCCTCTCGTTTTAGATTGGGTTTTTCATCACGGTCAGGCACCACACCAGCATCCACAAGCCTTGCCTTCAACTTCTTCAACATATCATTTTTTGCGTTGTGTGGAGTTTCGAAGAAGAGCGGCCTGAACCTCTGCACCAGCTTGCGACTTGCAAAGGCCATCTTAGCACACCAGGGTTCTAGGGCAACTCTTTGCACACCTGTGGGGATCAAATTCTCAATCTCATAGAACTTGAGGATGGCATCCCCCAGCACAGCTTCAGAGAGTTTCTTGTGTGGAGTCACTGAGACAATTGCAAAGACCACCTTCAAGAAATGCAGCGCAGCCACAAAAACACAAAAACAAAGACAGAAACAGGATCCCAGGTCCCACCTCTGGGTTCAGGGCCACATCCTTTACCGTGGCAGCCAGTTTCCCAAAGAGTCCTTCCGAGTGAGCCGACACAAAGCTCCAGCCAACCTGGAGCATACATGGTTAAGAGAAAACTGGAAAATGTGATGAGCCAAAGCTTTCCAATTTCAATCCTGGCCTGTTTCAGTTTCGGCTCAGCGTTAAAGGCAGCCACATACTTGTCCACTAGCTCTGGGTCTTCCGACAATTGCTTCAAAAGTTTCCCCATCTTTACGACAGAGCTAGCGCACTGCTTGCACTGCTTGAACAACATAGGCATCACCAACACATATTATACAGTATCAGTCATCACTAGCACTCCACAGATCATGGGGCACTGCAGGATCCTGAGTCCCACCATCGGTGCTTCGAAGAGACCTGACAGTCTTTAGCACAGCCCTAATGAACAACAGTGTTCAGTACCATGGCACATGACACATGAACACATGACCATGATGCGTGACACATGAACATGAAACCGTGATTTCACCAAGATCACCCCATGAATCCCCAAGAAAATCCATGAAACCCATGAACCATGGACATGAAGCATGGGCACGAACCCAGCAACAACATGACACCATGCATGCCATGGACAACCCCAAGGTTCATCAGGCAAGGCCTGCGTGGAATCCAACCATCTCCCTGCCAACACAAGCAAAAAAACGCACACAAGACAACAACTACACCCACAGGGCCACACCTTGTACAGATCAACCAGGCTCAGAAACTCTAAGCTTAAGAGCAAGACTCAGTTCCTGACGCTTTTTCTTCACAAATGCGAGGTCAGCAGCCTGATCAGCACATGAGTCTCACAATGCAGCTTGCCACAAGCCTATCAAAATTGAGCCCCTCACACTAGAGCTCACCAAGTTCTGCAACTCACCACCTGCGGAGAAAAGTTAACTGCCTGAGTAGCAGGTTGAAAATATTCCACCAGCCTGCCATAGCGCTCCCAGGGCCAGCGAAAAGGTTGAGGAGGTACATTGACTCGGTGAAGGTTCCCATCTGCAAACCTGGCAAAGGTAAAATCAAAAAAATATTCAAGCCTCCATATGTTTACACCTCAACGAAACTTCCTGGCGTCTCCACCATATAGCACTAGGCCCAGAGGGCTTTGGCACTGGGACTGACTCACTGCCAGGGGCTCCAGATCGTTTTGGCAGGGGAGCTGGCTCACTTGGCTCAGGCTCACGTGGATTTGGCAAAGGCTCACTTGGCTCACCTGGTTCAACCTTTGGTTCCTTCTCAGTTGATCTTGGCATGGGAGGTGGGAAGGGAACCTCTTCAGCACAAGGTCCTTGCTGAGAGCTCCTTGCTGGGGCTGGTCTGGCTTTCGCAGCTGGCTTTTTCGCAGCCTCTCCAAAAGCCTGCCAAGTTCGAAGGAAAAGAAAAAACAAGTCTGCTAATATATCACTGGCCTTTGTTTCTTCCTCATCTTCACGCTTCAAAGTGTCCAAGTATGCCTTTGTGGGGTAGGCTGCCTTGGACCTTGCAGCCACCCTGGGGTCACGCACCTCCTCCTCAGAGGCAATGTTTAAACACATCAAAGAATTCAAACAATGTGTCCAATCTGTGTGCGCCCAGCCTCTATAGGTCTTTTCTTCTGAACATGAACATGAACCTGGCACAGACACACATAGCTCACAGCACTCCAGAGATTCTGTACAAAGGAAACCCTCCACACTGGCCTTCTCATCTTCATCTTTCATTTTCTGCCTTCTTGCTGGCTTTTGAGCCGAAGAAGCTTCTGGGTAAACACGTGGCTGGTTTTAAACTTTCATGGTTTCATCAATTCCATGGTCATGCCTCATGCCTCATGCCCATGCAACACACCTCCATGAACGCATGAACATATGAACACATGAACATATGAACCCATGAGAAAAGCATGTTTCGTGATTACATGAACACATGAACATATTCTGGTCTGAAAACATGACCAATCCTAACCCCTATGGTTCACACATCCACATGTGCAGCAATGAACTATCTATTGCATCAGTGGCCCTCTGAGGTCTTGACCACCAAAGCCACCCGGCTAGCTCACCCACACCCAGATTCGAGCAAAAACAGCTGCAAGATGCGCAAAAGCTTCACTCAGAGCCTTGTTTGTGCTCCACGTCTTGCACACAGAAACCATCCCTTAACACACAAAACACATTTCAAACATAAAAACCTACACAAAACCCTGGGGGGATTCCTGGGATGGCAGGGCTATTCCTACGATTTGGCCATTTCCTAGGCATCACCCCCCTACCTGGCATCCTAGGAATCATTCCTAGGAAATGACTCTCTGGGCATCATGGGGCTGCCAGTCGGTTACACTAGACCATGTCTCCCGGAGGCAGAACAGACTGGTGCCAAGTGGGACGACACCAGGCTAAGCTTGATTGGGAACTCCTGGCATGTAGGAGTCGTAGCGTGGTTGTTGGAGCAATTGCTTGGCCCTCTGGGGTTTTGTCGTCGACAGTCAGTGCAGGAGATCGTTGATTACTTGACCCCTGGAGGTAGCAGGACTCTACAAGGAATGTTGCTGCGTCCGCCTCTGATGTCGACAAAGCGTTTGGTAACGAGCCTGGAGAAGCCGTTGTTGTTGAAACTGTTGGGCTTGGTCTCTATGAAGGGCGAAGATCTTATGGTGACTGCGGCCAGTGAACCACAGGTCAAGTTCCATCGCCTACGCTCCAGCGTGCCTGGAAAGTTGTGGAGGTGGAAAGAGGTGACCGGTTGGCAATGGCGGCATGCCGGAGAGCACATTAATGTGCTTGAACTCCGAGCCATTCTCACCACCCTGCGTTGGTTGGTTGTTCGTCGTGGAGCTCATCGCCGTCGCTTCCTTCACCTAACAGACAGTCTGGTGTGCCTGCATAGCTTGTCGCGTGGTCGGACTTCGTCCCGGAAGTTGAGGCATGTCTTGAAGCGTGTCAACTCCTTGATCCTTGCTGCTGACCTACACCCAGTGTGGGGGTATATCCACACTTCCCAGAACCCTGCGGACCGCCCTAGTCGGCGGCCGCTGCAACGCAAATGGGGAAAGTGAAACAGCACTTAGAAGGTCACAGCAAGGAGACTCGAGCACGAAACCGACAAGCTTTAGGCACTTTGAGAGAGCTCACAGTACAGCCACAGACCCGGAAACGTTACAGCCAAGCCAAAAACAGGTTCTATGACTATGCCAAGTCAAATGGGTTGACCATACCAACCAACTACACCGCTTTCGATGACATGTTAGCCGACTATGTGGAGCACTTGTGGAGTGCGGGAGAGGGGAGAGCGCTAGCAAGCGATACGGTCGCTGCCTTTCAGGATACAGAGCCTCGGTTGAAGGGCAAACTCCAAGTGACCTGGCGGTTGTTGAAGACGTGGCACGTAAATGAGGTGCCAAGTCGTGCTCCGCCTCTCCCGGAGGAATGCCTCTTCGCAATGCTGGGATGGTGCTTATTCCACAAGGAGTACGCGTTCGGTCTGAGCCTTTTGCTGGGTTTTTATGGATTACTGCGCACGGGGGAGATTCTCGGGCTTTGCAACCACCATGTCTTGATGACATCTCCCGATAAGCCTGCAGTGATTTCATTAGGTCTGACCAAATCCGGCAAACGCGCTGGAGCAGCAGAGAGCGTTACCATTTCTGTCACGTGCGCTTTACACTGGCTTTGGGCCTGGAAACGCACATCTCCTGCACACAGCCCTCTAACCCCGAAACCTCATGCATGGAGGAAGACTTTCAGTGAGTGCATCAAGGCGTTGAACCTTGAAGAATTCGAGTTCCGCCCCTACAGCTTGCGTAGGGGGGGCGCCACGTTTTGGTTCGGGCGCCACGGATCTCTCGACAGGATCATTGTCCTTGGGAGATGGGCGGCAGTTAGAACTGCCCGCCTTTATATCAATGAGGGTCTTGCTTTACTGGCCACTTTAAAGGTCCCTAGGAAGTCCATCCTTCCGTTCGTTCGCACGTTTCACCAGCACGACCTTACCAAGCTTGCACAGACGCTTGAGCGTGCTAAAGCAGGTTA